TCTGTAATGTCTCTAAAAGAAATTCCATTAAATTCAGCTTTTCAAGCTCTCATTCTTCTTTGTGCTGATAATTATAGTTTTTTTTCTGAAACTACCAGAAGAGATGAAAGAAAACTGCAGGATATATAGTTAATTGTGCTTCAGTTGGCATTTCAAAACAAAGAACTTTTGCACTTTAAGTCCCTCGGAGCTGCAAAAGTCAAAGGCGTATCATTTTCTTGTGCGCTACCTCTATTCCCTAATTGCGTTTTTAATTGCAAAAGTGCTTTCAAGTACAATTAATTGCATCACAAAAGGCTGCAGCAAGTGCACGTTTTAATTAAATTCTCTTTAGCTGCAGCGCTAACTAGCCGTGCAGGAGAATAAGGACGTTTTAAAATATATATTCCGCACAATATTTAAAGGCGAAGTGACAAAGTCGCGAAACCCACGAGTCGCAGTGAAGAGGATTTGCTATTCGTACATACCTTTGGCTGGCGAGCGGCGATAATGAGGCGACGAGAGCAAGTCGAGCCATTCGAAATAAAAGCTCTTTTTGAACAGCAGAGAGAAGAGAAGAGCGACCGCAGATCTGCGGCTGCCGTTGGTCCTCTGCGACTCTCTCGGGCGCTAACAAAATGTAAATCGAGATACGAGAGAGTCGGTGCGAGCGAGCGACGACTCCTGGGCGTTTTGTGTTTTATTGCATTAGAGCGGCAAGTTGGCGCAAACTGCTCAATTCATCGGTTCATTATTTGATAGTCTGTCTCGCACGTCCGGCTCCACCGCCGCACAGCATTCATTCATCCACTCTTCCTTTTCTATCTCTATGCAGTGCGGTCGGTGGCTTGGCTCGCTGGTCAAATCCCGCACAAAAAGCCTCAAAACTTTGCGAGTGGCGAATCTCCGCAGTAAGCCGCTTCTGTTTCGTCGCTAATCCTGTCAAGACTTTCTTGGTGGTCCGGCCGAATTGCGAGACATACAAGAGAGAGACCCTGTACAACTTTAAGCCAATGCAAATCGTGACTAATGAGATCGCAGTGAGATTTGTCAAATACAATTACTTGGAATTGGGTAGCATATGGAGGATTGTATGAAATTGAAGCATATTGATTTAAATAATTAATTTCAATTGCAAAGGTTAGATAATAATTTCTAGTCAAATGAATTTTCGCTCATTTTTTGATCATTTGCACAAACTTTAATATTGATTTATATTAAATTATCAAAAAATCAATAAAAAAATTTAAGCAAATTTTAATTGTTGAAAAGGGGAAAAAGTGTATAACTGAAAAAAGCCAACTGGTACTTGAAAATCCCAGAGTTTCTTGTGTCCATGATTAATATTTAAATGCTCTGGGGTAGAATTCCATAGCTTAATGTGTAAGTTTGTTATATATTTAATCCAACTCAGGACGCTAAAATCTAATTTTGAAATTAATAATTCATCTAAATCCGAGGCTTTGATGTATTTATTTTAATAGAAAAATAATTAAGAATTTGGGGCAATTTTCCATGCTAATTTATATTTAAAAAAATTTTTATTCATTTAGTCGCTCAAATACTTTAATCTTATTATAGGGAGGACACTAAAGAACTTTGTGGTGGATTTCAGGCTTGGAAGTAATAGAAAAACATGCTGTTTTTTCTGATACTTTCCAGAGCATTTGGGTTTCTCAGGCAAATTTACCAATATTATTATCATCCGCCACTACTAGTTAATTTGCTATCATTAAAATTGCAAACAATAGATTTTTTTTGTATTTTCCCTAAAAATACATGATTTTCTTCTTCAGACTATTCATAATAATTGATTATAAACTAAAATTGGATCAAAGGAAAAAACTAACAAAGGAAACGATGCAGATTAGGCCAATTATTTTGAATGAAACCAGTTGGGTTACACAAGCGGAAAAATTCCACTTTTAGCAAATCGCCTGCGTCATTCTTCTGCTTTTCGGTCAATATGGTGTAATTTGCTCGATAGTGGCACCGGACGCGAGAGTTTCCATCAACATACAGATCTATAATACACAACACTCGCACTCCATTTGTTTTTGAAGCTTTGCATTTCAAATGGTCGCGTGCTGCTGTGATTTCCTTTTGTGTTTCGCAAAGATATAAAACACCAAAGGGAAAAATGATTTCCACGATGAAGCGAGAATTTTATTTCCTCCCCATCGCCAGCCGGTGCTTTGCTCTTTCCGCGAAAGTACGCAGTCCTTTCGCTCCACGTGTCCGATTTGTATATTTTATTCACTCTCCCAGGCAAAACTCCATCAAAACTTTTTTGATTCGCAGCCATATACGAAGCTAATTTCCTGTGATGTAATAAAAAGCTGGTGAAATAACACATCAACGGTTTCTCCACGCACCCTTTCTTTTTGATATAGAAACGACAAAGTGTTGAATGCGGTATTTGGTATGGAAACAATAATAAAAGCTAAAATTGGCAAGCGAGAGAGAAAAAATTAACCCGAAAATAAAGAGGAGCCCTTTTTGAAAGTGGAAAAAAGTTGGTGACCTCATCATGCGTGATATGAGAAGTTTAATATTTATAAAGTTATCTCGCTCGGCAAAGTTTCGAATTTCTGCAAAACTCTTTTAGGAAAAGAACTCGCGCAGGGCCCGAAACAGAGAGAACGGCTGACGAGAGTTTAAACTCTTGAAAATTATTATGTCAGAAATGGTATATGAAGTTGCAATTTTTCCTGCGAGAAAAGTTACTGGCGGTTGTTTGATTACGAAATACGAGAACACACACCTCGGGGGCTGGGAATTTGCATTTTTTTTTTAGGATTTTTGCACAACAGTTTTGCGGGGCAGAAAAATGGTAAGAATATAATGATAAATAAAAGTGCGCCTTTCCAATTATTATTTGAAACAAAGCGTTATTCATAGATAATTCAACAAGTTGATTTATTTTTTCGCAGAAAACTTTTTGACTTTGAGGAGAGTTTCTATCGTTTTTTATATAGAACTTAAAACTGTAGAGTGTATTTTTTTTAAATTAAGGATTCAGCAGAATTTAGATTTCAAGGTTCAAATATTCCTTTTGAAACAAGATGTAAAAATTTTGATGAACACCGAGAATGAATTTTTGAATCAAGATTTCAATTTTATCATGGAATTTGGTGCTCTTTTGAATTCAAGAATAAAAAAATCATTACCAAGCGTGCGCTTCACCTTTGCCCTTCTTTTATGGCGGAACAAGGGCGCGATTATTAATATGTATAATAAGAAGAAGGTCTCTGAAGGCGCGCGCTCGCCGGCAGCAATAAAAAGCCCAAGCTTATCATCATCCCATCGTATCCGTCCAAGCGGCGAGATATCATTTCATTTGAGCCAGGCGTCTCCAATCTGCACCAAGTGGCTGCTTCCCAACTCAAGTCACGTGTGCGCCATCATCACTACACTTCTTTATTTGCAGGCCTAGTCGCACAAGAGCAGATGCCAGCGAGAAATTTAGATCGCAAATTAGATGAATCGTTTTTCATTGAATCTGGGCTGCGAGAGAGCTCGAGCTGCAGCAAAAAGCTCACGTACCACGCTCGCTGCCCGTCGAATCAGCCAGAATTTAGCACCGGGCGTGTGCGTGTGTTTGCCTTAACACACGGGTACTGTAAATTCTATTTAAGGCTTCAATCTCCAGTGGGATTTTGCTTTTTGTGCTTCGTTTGTCGATGGATTTGTAAATAGGAGGTAAACGATTAATTAAAATTAATTTAGTAAAAAGCTTAATTTCCGCAGAATTCATTCAAGTCCATGTTAATATTTGCCTCAGTTAAACTAGACATTCAAACAGATTTTTTTTGCCAAATTAACCACCAACACATTTGACATCAACAATCTATAATCTGCTAAAAAAAAAAAATTGGTAAAAAGCAATGAGTTCAATCGCTGACGTAAGGGTAAAAACTCAAGTTTTTAGTAATTGCAATATTCATTTAAATTCATATTGTGGATTTAAACTTCAATTCTTTAAAATTTGACGTTGTTTCGAATTGTATTTGGTGAAACTTTTAATTTTAAAAAATGTGCAATTTTTCACTTTCAAAAAATTTATCGAACAATTTTAAATTCCTTATTTTCTAAAAAGATTTTGTATTTCGCATTCAAGTTTCGCGGGTAGCTTAAATTTTTGGGCTTTTATTTCAAGGAGATCATTATAAACCCTTTTCAAAAGCTTTCACTGGTGGGAAAACTCGGCGGTTTTTAGCGTATTGAAGTAGACATGGCCTGTCTGCTCCGAGCTCAGTACACAGAGAATTTCCCACGAAACAAAGTGAGATTTCTAACTAGAGAATGAACTGGAGAACAATTGCTCGAGCGTACACACACAATATCCACATCAGAGAGTGCTGCCGGGGGTAGTTTCTTTCTTTCTCGCAAAACTCGCAGAAAAGCTGCCACCGCACGTAGCATACTTGACTCTATACATTTCGCGCGCTTATCTTTGCTCAGCAGTTTCCAGCTGAAATAAAGGGCAATTACGCTTGGGTGTATCGCGCACCCAAGTGGCACGGAAAGTTGCCAAAGAAGAAGAAAAAAAAGTGGAAAGTGCGCGGCGATACCGAGAGTAAAAGTACAGAGAACACGCGCGCGTGAAATTTATTAACGCAGACGAAAATTTGCATTGCTCTCCTTTGCCATGGCAACCGAAAGCCACACCGAGTTAAAGTCAACAAGAAAAGCTGATGAGCAATTACGATGATTATTATATTGCAATTGCTAAGGGCGCAAAGCCGCAATTCAAAAGGTGGCAATTCAGATAAAAAGGCAATTTAACTTTCTCTCGAGAATGAAGAGATAAAAATTATTTTCGTCTGCACAGCTGCGCGAAATTCAAATCTCTTTTCTTTTCTTCCCGCGTCGGCGGGTAATTGCATATTTATAAAGTTTGCACTAGGCGCGCGGTTATTTACGGCCAATAAAGCTTGATAATGGCCAACTCGGCGGCAGCGTGTAGTGGGAAATTGTGTTTGTTCATGTGCTGCTCGAGGTGCGCAATATTGGCTTACCTTAATTACGTGGCCACGACGACCGACGGCGAGGGCTGGAGTGGATTTCCACAGCACAAACGGTGCGGATTATCTGCAACACAAGAATGATTGCAATCGATTATAATTAGCCGATCGCTTCGCCGAAACTAATTGACCGCCAACCAGACCAATTTCACGCTATCAAGTTGATAGATTAAACCCGAAGAACGAGGAAAAAGGTGTGAAATTGAGAATCATAAAGATAATTTTTTATTTAACAAGGCAAATTAAGTACTTAGTTAGTTTAGATAATGGTAATTGATGTAAAAAATTGGACTTTGTTCCTCATTTTTTCAATTTTATTATATAATCAACCTTTATTCAAGAGCAATTTTAATTATAATAAATGATATTCAAATTTATCATTCAATTTAATGATATTTTCGAATTAAATATTTAATGACCAATTTAATATTTTATTAAATACAAAATTATTTAACTATTTCACAATTGCATGTATAAATAATTAATAAAAATTTCATTTTATTAAGATAATTTTAAAATACTTTTTTTCATTTTAGGCATAACTTCAATATTCTATTTTTGTTATTATTTTATATTTTAAAATTCTTCCAGGCTGTTGATTTTAATGTCCTCGCGCTTGAAAACTTTGTAATTGAAAATGTTTTGCGGTGGCTCGGTGGAAAAGCGAGGGTGCCGCCGCGCCCTCGAGCCATCTCGCTCTCTCGTCGCTAATTTATAATTCACATTCCTGGCCGCAATTATCATCGTCGCCACTTTGATTCAAGTTTAATTTGCGCGTCGTTCGCCTCGTCGCACACTCTGGCTAATTAATCAGACGAGTCGAGTAAAATGCAGCATGTGTACTTTTGCAACGTGCATTTCACCCATACAAGGGCGACACCGCAACAGAACTTTCAAAGTGCACACATATTTCTGGTTTCTCTCTCGAGCGCGAGTTCACAAGTTCAGACGCCCTTTCATTGCACCCCTGCTTTCATGAGGACGACAACACCCACCAACTGTGTGCATACTCAATTTGCAACGCTCAAGCTGCACTACATCAAACGTCGAGCCAAAGTTTTGCAGCAGGTCGTGTATTTTGCCATGCGGTTTGCTCCTGATTAACACCAGATGTCGTTTAAGAGAGTAAATTTTACACTGATTTAATCATCCTAGCAGCAAGAATTCCAATTAAACGTTGCCTGACTTCAGAATCTAATTAAATTATAGAATGATACACACCAGCCTTTTGACTGGTAAAGAATCAGAATTATTTAATTTGACCGCCTCGGAGCCTAATTTTACGATGCAGAGGAATTAATTAAATGCATACATCTATCAAGAACGAGCTTTGTAGAGAAAAGTTAAACAAACTCTCAATTTGATATGCGGACCAACAATTACGAATTTCACAATTCGTAGGCAAGAATTTTAATTTTGATTGTTGGGTGTAATTTTGACTCAACTGCCATTCGAAGTTCTTGAATTATTTGAGAAATTCAAATGTAAAATTCATATTCTAATGCTTGACAATTCATATCAAAATATAGAAAATTCGTTTCACCATCTTGCTTTTCTTCAGGAAAATTAATAAAATATCACGAGAATTTCAGCAGGTCTTTCCAAATTAAATTCTATAATTATTGAAATCAATTTGTAAAACAGAAAACGAGAGTGTAAATATTCAAATATGACTTTTAATGATCTTCAAAAACAATTAACAACGCCCAATAAAAATAAATTTTCCTCGTCGCGAAGGTTCAGCGGCGACCCTCATCCCGGGCGAGCTGTCGGGCCCTCATGTTGAATGTTGCCTGTTCCTGTCCAGAAAGGGCCTTCCAGCGCTTGGCCACTTCTTTGAAGACATTCTGGGGCGAAGTTCCTGCCCCCAGTGCAGCGTAGGCGACCCGGTAATTGTCCCGGACGAAGAGGTTGAGGCCTGTCTTGGGACGAGTTCGACGTTCACGGCGTGCAGGCATTTTGCTTCCGTTCGGCTCGAGTGTCAGAGTGCAAATGAACGTTGGTTTTGATTGACAGTTGGAAATTCAAACCAACAATCGAGACGATCACAAAAGTTTGTTGGCCCTGACAACCGTAAAAAAGAATTTTCACTTTCGATTGTTGTGTTTAATATCCAACGGACAACATTATATAAAAATGATTTTATCCTCAAATTTACAAAAATAACGATGGGTTAATAATTATTTGAAGAATAAATCTAAAAATCCAAGATAGAGGATATGGATTTTTCTGTATTTTAATGTGATTTTAAGCATGTAAGAGCTAGAATTTTACTTGATACTTTCAAAAATAATTCAAGATCTTTGAGATTTAATTTAAAATACGGAGGCCTTTAGAGTGAAATTGTTGAGAATTTCAATAGACTTGTGAATCTAATTAAATTATGGAATGATACACAGCAGCCTTTTGACTGGAAAAGCATCAGAATTATATATTTTGACCACCTCGGAGCCTAATTTTATGATGCAGAGGAATTTATCTAATGTATCTATCAAGAACGAGCTTTGAAGTGAAAAATTTAACGAACTTTCAATTAAATTTGACATTCAAACCAACAATTACGAATTTTACATAACATTCGTAAGCATAAAGAATTTTATTTTTAATTCTTGGTTTGAATTTTGGCTCAACTGCCGCAATCGAATTTCTCTAATTACTTGTGAAATTCAAATGTAAAATTCATATTCTAATGCTTGAGAATTCATATCAAAATATAGAAAATTCGTTTCACCATCTTGCTTTTCTTCAGGAAAATCAATAAAATATCTCGAGAATTTCAGCAGGTCTTATTGAATTCTAGAATTATTAAAGTAAACTTGTAAAATAAAAAATGAGAGCGTAAATATTCAAATATGACTTTTAATGATCTTCAAAAACAATAAACGACGTCCAATAAAAAATAACTTCTCGCCGCGAAGGTTCAGCGGCGACCCTCATCCCGGGCGAGCTGACGGGCCCTCATGTTGAATGCTGCCTGTTCCTGTCCAGACAGGGCCTTCCAGCGCTTGGCCACTTCTTTGAAGACATTCTGGGGCGAAGTTCCTGCCCCCAGTGCAGCGTATGCGGCCCGGTAATTGTCCCGGACGAAGAGGTTGAGGCCGGTCTTGGGACGAGTTCGACGTTCACGGCGTGCAGGCATTTTGATTCCGTTCGGTTCGAGTGTCAGAGTGCAAATGAACGCTGGTTTTGATTGTCAGTTGGAAATTCAAACCAACAATCGAAAAATTTACAGATTTGTTGGCCCTGGCAACCGTAAACAAGAATTTTCACTTTCGATGTTGATTTCAATTTCCAACCGATAACAGTCAATAAAAATTATTATTTTTTCCACAATTTTAAAAATAAACTAAATATGACGCATAATTTAAAGTCATTAATTATTATTTCAAATGTTAAATTTGAATATTTATGCTCTCACTAATTTTTGAGTTCATTCTTTGAAGAATCAATTTAATCCAAAATATACGATTAAGGATAAAGAATTTTCTGTATTTTAATGTGATTTTAAGCACGGGAGATTTAGACTTTTACTTCAAGCTATGAAAAATAATTCAAGAAGTATTTAATTTTTACTACGGAGAATTTTAGTCAAAAATTACTAGACAGGTCCTTTGGCCAAAAAAACGTATTAATATTTTTTTATGTGAATTTTATTTTTATTACTGGGAATTTTCAACAATTTTTTAGATGTCCATAAATTAGGCCTCGTGCGACTTTTTTGCAAAATCGTTCCCAATCAAAAGCTCGTAAATTTATACGGCCTCTGATTCCCCAATACATTTTCCCTTTCAACCCTTTGGTATGAGTATTGTTGCTTATTACTGCTCACATATAACCAGAACAAAAAAGCCCTCCGAGCTTTCTGGTGCGTGTATATAAACTTTTGATAAAATAGAGAGAGAAACCGAGTAATGAGCAAGCAGAGATTTATTACAAATTTCCTCCTTTGTGCTGCACAGAACTCCCTCTCTATGATTCCCCGCTTGCTCATTATCTTATGCGCGGCAACAAATCGAGAACCTGCGCTATAAATAATAGTACATACACCGGCGCACTCAAGCAGGGCAATATTGTGCTCCTCTTGTTTAGCCATACACCACGCACACACGCATAAGCAAGTAAGTTCGTAGGAGGAGGAAAGATAAAATGAATGAAATGCTCCCAGAGCTGCGGCAAAACAGTGCAAATTGCAGTCGGATGGGGTGGAAAACAAATGCGCCGTCGTGCACCCCGTGAGGGCAGACACATAAAATTTGCCAAAATTATGAATATATCTTGCCTGTCTGCTGGGGTATAACTCACAATTGTAATCTCAGTCAAGCTTTTTGCAGTTAAAAACAAAGGGGGAAATTTCTTCACGATCTTTTGAAAGATTTACTAGCAAACTTTCCTCAGCCAATAATGCAAATTTCAATTATCATTTAATCATTAAGAAATCAATTAATTTATATTTCTAATTTCCTTCTTCATTTTATACTTCTTATGCTTGCTTACCCTTTTACTTCATTTGTTGATAAATTATTTATTTTTCTAATTATATTTTTACATTTTTATTAATTTTATTTAATTTTTTTACATATTTTTTTGGAATCTCTAAAAAAAAACTTGTACACATGCAAGAAGTAATAAAAATACAAGTCATTTTCAGTTTTAATAATGGATTATCTATCTGTCAGCACTAAAAATGAATTAAACTACTTTCATCTCATCAGTCACCACTCTCGTGATGATATTCATCATTTTCTCATAGTTTGAATTTGAATGGGGCAGGGTTGATCAACGTGGACCGGCGCTTGAAAATGATTTTAATTTGAACGCAGCGGGTGTGAGTTTTGCGAGGGAAATAAGTGGAAGGGGGACTTATCAGTTCTGGACCAGACAGATTTCATTACTGCATTACAGAGCGTATTATATGATGGTGTGCGTCGCCAGTCGAGAGCAAATTAAAGCGAGAGAGGGAGCTGGAGTGTGAAGAGCGAGAGAGGACGAAGACAAATCTCTCTCTTTCTCTACAGATTTCGAGGCCCTAACTAAATTCATAACAACTGGCTTAACATTATCTTTGTT